CGTTCCCCCTCCTCCTCCCCGCCCGCCCCCTCCCAGCACAGCGGCCGGGAGCATCCGGGGATTAGTGCCGAGCCGCCTGGTCACAGAGGGCCTGGGAGCTGCCTCTTCTCTGACCTCCTCCACGCTCTGCCTCCCCTCCGGGAAGCGAGGCCCTTCCCTGCCTGCCCCCAGCGGAGCCGCCACGCAAGGCAAGGAGGGGGGAATTTTTTGTTGGTCCGATGAACCTCATCACAGCTCCCCATGACTCACCAGGGAAAAAAACTCCCCGCGATAAGGCCTGCCCCCCGCCCCGTTGAGGCAGCAGATGCTGCTCTGGCTGCTCTGCAATGGGGCCAGTGACACAGAGGCCCACCGGGCTGCCGAAGCCAAAGCCTGGGTACAGTGGAGGTGTCCACCCTCGCGCCCGCGGGACACCGCCTGGCCCCTCGCGCTGAGTGGGAGGGCAGCAGGAAAAGGAAGGAGCTGGGACGGTGAAGAATTGGAGGAAATGCTTATTTACCCCTCGGAGTATCCCTGAGGAAGGGCAGGGCAGGACGAGGCATAGGCGGACAGTCCGCGCACACTTTGCAAAGGAACTTGCAAGCTCCCACCCGGCTGCCCAGACCAGGGCACCCGCTGCCTCTTGCCCTGGGGTACCCCGGAATTCCCAGGAGACACAAGTCCCAAACTGGTAGCCAGTGAGGCCACCGAGGAGGGCTGGGGCAGTCCCCACTTATGCTGAATGTGAGCTGTCTTCTAGGACAGCTAGGAAACTGGCCCAGGACCGCGGTGGTCACAGGGAAGGGGCTGAATGCAGCAGGCTGGGTCCCTCAGAGAAAGACCAAGCACCCAGCCAGGACCCCCAGCCCCTTGGGGACCATGGACATGGGTCACCTCCCTGCCCCGCCAGAGGGGACGGCCTGTTTAGAGCAATCAGACCCACTGCAGAGATCAGGAACCTCCTTGGAGGTGCCCAGCAGACCCAACTTAGTCCCCATATGCAGGAGACCAGCCCTAGGATACACGAGCTCTGCCCGCTCCCGCTGGGGCCACAGTGCCAGGGATGCTGGACACAGCATCCACGCTCTGTTTATTCTCATTATCTGTATGGAGCAGTTCGTAGCAGAGGAGTCTTGGGGCATGAGGGAGAAGAAAATTCATTTGCCAAGGACAGACGCATTGCTCTGGTATCCAAACGTGCACCATCCTGGAGCCCCAGCGCGCCCTATGCCCCAGCCAGGGAGGGAAGGCTGTTCCCGTGCCCATCAGGAGCGAACACGCCTGGAAACGCACACTCAGTCCCAGCCAGCATCCACCTCCACCTTCAGATACGGACTCCGGCATCTCTCCAGGGCCACGTCCCCGTGCACCCTCCTGTCCCCTGGTATCACGTCTCCGCGCTCCATAGTGACAATGTCCCCTCACTGCCCATCCCTAGTGTCCCCGGCAGGGACAGAGCTCCTCCCTAGGGCACAGCAAGTGACGTCACTCACCCTAAGACGACCCCCAGTGAAAATCTGGGTGCCCAGCCTCCTGCTCCCAGCATCCGCATTGCCCTGCAAACCTCCAGTTGCTGAAGTCCCCCCAAATGACCAGCGTCTGCCTTGGCTAAGTGTTGCGGACGCCCACGTTCCACCACATCCATCAGGCATCAGCATGAACTTGGAGAAGGGACTAGAATGCAGCTGGTGTCCCCACAGACTCCTGTTTCCTGCCTGGCACGGGAGCACCTTATGCCGTTGCTCTGCACTCCCCGAGCCCGTCCTCGGATCTCCTGACCAGGACAACACGCAGAAGACAACCCCAAGTCACGTCCCCTTCACCTCGCTCAGGCTGGGCAGTCACAGGCCCACAGCTCTCAAGCCACCTCACACAAGGCCCTCTCCACCCAGAGGACCCCCCAGCCCCCTCCAGGACCTTGCAGGGGGATGCGGGCAGAGGGCCCCGCGCTGCCAGCGCTCGGTACCTTGGCGTTTGCCGTTCATAGCGGGCGGCGGGCGCCCCTGCGGCGCGCTGCAGTCTCCTCCCACACTTCCCCTGGTCCAGGGCTGACATCACTGACCGGCGCCGCATCCGCACGCTCGGCCTGAGTCAAAGCCCGGGGAAGGGAGGACATCCCTTACGGCGGGAAGGGGCCCTGCAAGCGCTGACCTGGGGCAGGGCCCCTCCTGGCTGCCTCCTCCACTTGTCCCTTCACAAATACCCCGAGCCGCACGGGGTATTTGAGACCAGCATCACCCTCTGAACAAGCTGCTGGCCTGAAACCAGAACCAGAGACTGCACAGGGGGGAGATGTTGCACTCACGGTCCCTCACTCCGGCTCCATGGACTTCAGGTGGGCACAAACCCACGGGGCAGAGCGACTCGCACCCTGGCAGATGAGGCTCACAACCACTGCTAGGGATGAGCCGCACTGGAGAGACCTCTCTGCTCTCTCTTCTGGTTGGCCTTTCTCCTTGCTTTGCTACAGGCTGCACAACAGGCATTGGCACGGAGAGTCCCATGGCATCCTCATGGAGCATCCCATTACTTCACCACCGCATCTAGTGGCTGCTTAGGAAAAAGGATTTCCTTGTTCAGATCTTCCTAGCTCATGCTATCTGGGTCTCCAGAGTCCTCGGGAGGCTGGTTTTGCTCCAGACTTCCTTCCAGGACTCTGAAAGGATGATGGGTGTGATTCTCACGTGGGAACCGAAGGGGATGGTTGTTAAGGCTCTAACAAAGAAGGGTTTCTTTCCCGCCTGTTCAGTAGGCGTAGGAGTTTGGCCTTACAATCAGCAAGGCATGACTGAGGAGCCAGTCACACCAAGGATGCCCCATGCGCCTGGGCAGTCCAGCTCCCAAGAGGCAGGCAAGGGCTGAGGACAGGGAAAAACTCCTTGCACTGAACTGAAGGGGAGGATAAACCTGGGTCCCTGTCCTTGGCTGCGACACACGCAGAAAGTGGCAGAGCTTCCCTGCATGGTGTATCCACAAGGATAATCAATCCCTCAAGCAGCCGCATTTGGGGCAGGAGAGGACTACGGACCAAAGGACCAGGGTACTTGGGTCTGGCTACCCCTACCACCCCAGCCCTCTTTATGCCTTTAGCCTTGGCTCTGAAGGAAAAGACCAGAGCAGCCTAGCCCCATCCAGTCTGGGAAAGGCTGGCGTCATCGCAGCAGGAAGAGACACCTCCCTCCCAGGCTCCTTTCCTGTTTGCTGCCGCTTTTAAGTGAAGTAGGGCAGGGCTCGGGAGGAAAAGCCTTGGCGCAGAGTCCTTATGAGGTGCCTCTAGACATGGGGGTTCTCCAGGACCACTAATATCCTCCTGAGACAGTGAGTCAACTGAGGGGCTGCCTCCCCATCCTGGAGCTAGCCCGGCCATAGAAGGGCACCTGCACGATGCACAAGGCCAGGAGCTAGCGGGGCACCCAGGGCCACTCTTGCCTGGGGGCATCACCACTCCAGCAACAGCCCTGCTCCCGGACGCAGGGGCTCCATGGCTCTGCCAGGGCTGCGGATGGGTGAAAGTCCCACCACGCCAGCCCTGCTGCCAGCGCTGCGGAGCCAGTGCCCGGCCCGCGTCCAGGCTGTGCGCCTCCAGCTACGGCCCATGCCAGGCTTGTTTGTTCTCATTAAAGTTTAACAAGGATTCTACGCTAAAGCCGCTGGGCGTGCGGGGAGAGGCGCTTCCCAGCGCCGTGCAGCACGAAAAGAAGCCTGGGCCTTGCAGCTAAGAGGCTGGCAGTGGTGGCCTCGCTACCGTGCTTGTGGACACCCACCTCTCCTTGCCCTGGAGCCCTGAAAAAGCTTTGCCTGGTGCTGAGGGGGTAGCCCATACCCCGGGCAAGGGGTCTGCATGGCACCATCCTGCGCATTGCCCTTCCGAAGGCCTTGGAGGATGCCTGGGCGTGCAGAGGATCTTGAGGTGCTTTGCCTGGCACAGGCCACAGCGGGTGCACAGTGGCTCTTGCCAGCAGCAGGACACTTTGCTGGGACAGCGCAGGCGAAGGGCGTGAGCAGTGCTGCCAGGAAAGCTTGCGGAGCGGCGGAGGTAAAGGAATACGTGCCCACAGAGCCTGCCTGGCCACCTGGGCATGCAGAGCAGGTGCTGGGAAGGGGGAGGCCATGCAGAGAGGTGCAGGCCACCTCCTCTGAGCTCAGGAAGCCCCTGAGGTGCTCAGCACACTGGCCCTGAGCCAGCCAGCCAGGGCAACCGCATCTGCCCCTCCAACACAGCAGCGATTTGGGCCTCCTGCCTGAGCCACACGTCTTTCACAAGGTCTCTCCGTCACGTGCTGCTCTGCCCAGGCCTGGAGAGCTCTCCCGGGTCTCTCCCCTCCCAGCAGAGCTGTGCCTGGCATTGAAAAAAATTCCTGGCACTGCCCACAGACGCAGGCAGACGGTCCTGCCCTGTTGCCAGCCCTGCTGCAGGGTGAAGTTTCCCTCCCAGCTGTAGCAGACGGGTGCTTCACTCCCCAAACCCTGGCTGGTGGCAATGCCAGAAACACGGGAGCAGTGACCATCTCCAGGCAAGCTGTGCAGAGCTGGGCAAATGGAGACCTGGGAGGCCCAGAATGGCTTTTCCCAATAGCCCAAATCCCCCAGGAATTGGAGGAGCGCAGAACCCAAGAAACGGTCCTGACACTGTGCTGGGGAGGTACCTAGGCACAGACTGGTCCCCAAGCACAGCGGGGAAAGCTGCTGGGCTCCATCCCATTCTCCTTGTCCCATGCTCTGTAACAGAGGCCACAGCAAGAGTCACACACAAGTTTATCTGCTAAGATTTTTTCCTCCCTTAAAATATCAAGTCTTCAATAACTAACCTGTATTTGGGAGAGCAGAGGGGTAGCTTTTGCCAGGATCCCTCTGCAGATCCCAAGCTGGCTTTTCCCAAGCACAGCTCTCCCAGGCCAAATTGCATCTCACTCCAGATGCAAAATTGAGTCACAGCAGAAAAGCACCCCAAATTTACAAACACTCATGCAGGCAGCCATGCTCGGACACATGTGCTGCTGATGGAGGTGCAGCCATGGCCAGTCAATCCCAGCAGACAGAAGGAACATCAAGATGCCACAGAACACATCCCAACATTCCTGTCCCCTGTGGAAAGTAGGAGCTGCCCAGACTTCACATGCTGTGGCAGTGCTCAGTCCCAGAGAGGTTCCCTTGCTGCCATGATGCCTCCTTGGAGCCTTGTGCTATGCCAAGGAAGAGTCAAGCTCAGAGGCTGTGCCCCTCATTGCATCACTCAGCCATCAGAGAAGCCACCCGCCCCAGGGGTGCATCCCCCAGGTGCACAAGCACTAATTAGACAAAGGTCAAGGTGATCAGGTAGCTATTTTAGCCTGCTCCCTGCTAAGTGCTGCTCAGACACAGGCACCGGCTTGCCCCAGCATGGCTGGAAGCATCTCACAGCTGGAAACGTGGCACTAAAGGACACCTGCCAGCCTCAGCCATCCTACTGCGGGCACCCCGCAGCCTGGCATCTGCACCGCAAGATGAGGCAGAAGGCACTGATGTGCAAAAGAGGACGGGGAGCTGCATTGTCAGCACCTCGGCATTGGTCTCTCGAGGGGGAAACGAGCGTGACACCATGGGGGTGACCCAGGAGTGAGCAGGAGGTGACGTTTCCAGCCACAAAAAACATCGTTGCAGCTCAAAAGGGAGCCACAGTGAACGAGGGGGTGATGGCTGCAGGAAGGCAAGTCTCTGTATAGGGTAGAAGAGGCCAGTCCTGGCCTGGGAGAGCCTGATCCCAGCCTTTGGGCTTACCACTACTATACTAACGAGGAACTGTACTTGCAGAACCTCTTCCTCCCCACTGCATGAGACAACCAACACCTCTAATCGAATGCAAGAAACAGCAACCGGAGAGGCCAACGCCAAGATAACACGGCAGCCCGACGCCGCAGATCACAGCTCTGTGCCCCGAGGGCTGGAGAAGAATTAGTCCCTGTGCCAAGGGAGGCTCTACCTGTGGCGAGGCTGGCGCCGGCACCATAGGGAGCCTCCCTTCCCTGGGGTGGACATCCTGTCTCTGCGGGGCTCTCTTCTTGCCCCGCTGCAGGAGTCCCATGTGGATCTTTCCTGGTTGTGGCCTGCCCATCTCCCGGAGCTGCTCAGGGAGGAGCGGCACAGGCAGGACCTGGGAGACATTGCTCCTCTGCCCTCTGGCCGTTACAGGGCAGGCGGAACTGGCACGGCCGTGGTGGCCCAAGGGGGCCAGGCAGCCCAGCTGGGCGTTGAGGCTTGCAGCAGGCTCAGCCCTTTCCCCGTCACTTCCTTGCATCTTCCTGATACGACGTCAGGGCAGAAATAGAACAGATATAAATGGCAGCCCTATAAATAGCCCCAAAGCACAAGCCGGGGAGGCAGGGGCAGTGGAAGCAGCCCTGTGCTGCCTTGCTCCAGCCTCATGATGGCCTGGACTCGCACAAAGCCTGTCCTGACCTCGCAGCCCAAGCTCACCGGCCTCATTCTCCAAGTTAGAGCAACCCCAGAGCACAGCGGGAGCTCTGCCATGCCCACCATGGCCTCTGTGACAGTGCAGACTTTTGGGGACGTCAGGGAGAGCTGCCCTCGTCCACGCGCTCCTGGACACAAAGCTTTTCTACAATCCCTCTGGGGGCTCCCCAGAAGCTGGGGGTCCACCTAAGCCTCCAGGGAGCAATCCTCCACACATACCAGGAAGAAAAGGGCCCCTGAATTCCTGCCAGGAGCACTGCAACGACAAATGACCCAGGAGCTACACGTCACCACCTGCAAGTCCTCCAGTCCCTGATGAGTTCCTTTTGGGGTAACAGCAGGTGTGGGACAACCGTCTGCCTGAACAGGGATGCACCCTGGGGCTCCTCTCCCTGGGCATCCCACCAGGCCTTGCCATGGCAGCAGAAGACACAAATTCCTGGGCAGAACAAGAACACCAGACAGAGGTTGGAAAGAAGTCACTGGGCTACCCAGGGCTACCACCAGGCCAGAACTCAGCACATCCAGAAAAGGCAGGTCA